GGGGGAGCACTCATGAAAGAATAAACAAACCATCCTGCAAAGCAATTGTAACCAAAACGGTGTCATGGGAAGGGCACAGAACACACCTTGTTCTGTATTTACAGTGTTGTTTTTGATTTGTAACTTATTCCTATGCAATAGTAACAGTGTATAGAAGGGTGGTATAACGTAGACCACACTGCAATCTAACCTTTATATCTAATTCGAGATCGAAATCAGCTGAACAGAGCTGGGAAAAACTGACAGTGGGTTTCACTTTACAAAGGCAGGGTTAGCATGAGCCCAGGTTCCACCTGACTAAAACTGCAGGAGTTCAGCACCAGCTGAGTTGATGGATCTTGTTCTGAACTGTAGGTAGCAGGTAGGGACTGGTCTGACCAAAGCTGTCTGCCCTCTTTTCTGTGATCAAACCCTGAACTGTGCCTAAGCAATCTGCAATGCACTCTGGAGACCGGGTGATAGATAAGAAATCAGAGCTGCCTTCAGAAGGCATGTATAAATGTGACCTTGATCCCAGGAACCCACTTGCCACCCTGTTCTTTGTGTCCATGGACAGATTGTACAGAGCTTTCCTTTCCAAAAAAATCCTCCAACCCAACAACTTTGACTTCAGCATAACTGCTTTCCTTATTTTGGTAAACATTCCTATTGTCCCTGGGGAAACTGTAGCTGTGGCAGTGAAGACAAAACTGGAATACAATCCCTTTTCCACACAGAGAGGCACTGGTGAAGGCTCTTTCTGCTCTATATGGGCTTGAAAGAGTCACTGCTTCAGGCACATACTGCTGTACCCTTCTCACAGCTACACTCCTGCTGCCTCCTTGCTGGTATGACAACAGGGCGAGGGTGGGTTTCAAGATTCTTTCACACACTCCCTCATTTCTAAAATCCACAGTGTCAAACATTCGCTAAAGTCATAGAAATAAACAAAAGTGAGCTGTGGCTGGCATTTTCCCATTTGTGGTTTGATAAGGAGAGAAGAAAACAGACAGTTTCCAGTCACAGCAGATTTGTTCTTTTATATACTGTCAGCTCCTGATCCCTTTCTCCTGCCTGCTGATGCTGCTTTTTCATTGCTAGTGCTGGAGTCCTTCACTGAGACACAGTGTAAGAGGACAAAAGTGGAGAAAATACCTGTCTTGACTGGAGCTCACGCAAAGGAGAAAATCACCATTTGGTCTGTGTTGGCAACAAGCGCTATATAAGCTCTGTCTCCAAAAACTGACTGGGCAAAGTGCTTGGAAGTGGACCACAAGAACAGCCCTGGTCTGGGAGAGGCCATGAACCAGGGACTGCCTGGAACCAGGGGGAAACAGAGGCATCAAACTGATGTTCTAGCTTCTATAAGGGAAAATGCTTCACATCTCAAGATGCAAACCCAGTCCCGAGACATCTGGATCTACCCAGGGTTGGCTGCTCTGTGGGACCTCCCTGCTCCTGCTTTCCCTTCAGTGAATGAAAAGCCCTTCAGCAGAACTGAGGGAAGCAGCTTGATGTACAGGAGGGGAAGAGCTTCTACATGGACTTGTCCTACCAAACCCTTATAAGTCCACTCCCTCTCCCATCTTTGTGTAAACATCCCATGTCTTTGAAGGAGAGTGCCTTCACTTAGTCAGGGATGGACTGGGAGAAACACATCATCTGCAAGCAAACCCCAGGTGTGCCCAAGATACCTGTCACATATTCTGCCTGCCCCAGGGCAGTGGCTGTGGCACAACAAACACATAGCTCTGATGCATTATGGTGTAAGATCTGTACCAAACTGAGGGAGGTTATATGCTGAAGCAAAGGCTTCAAGTCTGCAAAGCAGAGCTGGCTGGGTGGTAGAGATGGAATCAAATTCTTCAAGGAGAAAAGATGTTTATGTAAGGGAACTTCGTTTGTAAGCCCATATGACAGGTCTTTTCTGTTAACAGTCAGCATGGAGATTGGCTTTGGGCACTACGTCTATGTTACCCTTTCCACACTGACGAAGGAAGCTGTGAAACTATTCTGGCTGGTAGGTGTGAGGGCAGGTCATGCCATGCTGGTCCTCCTGTCTTTACCTACCTGGCACAGCAGCTCTTGTGACTCTGAGACTCCACACACAGCTCTGCAGTGCTCAGCAGGAGCCTGCACATTCTTGCCTTCTGCTTTTCATAAAAACAGCCTAGATTCCCTCTGTGCTGCCATGCAATTACTCTGCCAAACCACAGCTTTTTAGGAGGCCTGCTATTCAAATGGGACATGCTTGTTTGTAATAAAATAAGCTGCTTTGAAGTAATTTTGGCACAAATTAAGTGTTTGTGATACACACCATAAAAGAGCTATTAAATAAAGAATGATATCAGGAGGGTAAAAAAGAAATCAAATTGTTTTTCATATGGGCAAGCAGGCCTATACACATGCCTTCCATGTACGATGGCCATTATATCCCCACTAATGAATGAGAACTAATTAGACAGAGATACAGCAGTGTGTGCCAATGGACAGTCTGGTGATGTGCTATTCATACACCACCCATTACTGTATCTTCCTCCTGGGAAGCTCAGAACATTATTCCCTGTGTACAGCTGTGCCCTAACTGTAATCTAAGCTTCTGGCCTGGCTAATCACCACCCATTAAACTCACATTTTCTTCACAGGTCACACATTTTCCAGCTCAAACCCTGTGTCTTAATCATGCAACAGACTGAGCTCAGAAATACATCTGTGTACAGTACTGGAAGTGAGGGCAAGGCAGAACTGAATTCCATAGGTCCCCTAAGTCTCTGAGATACTTAACAAATAAGTATGTTTGGATATACATTTAACAGATGTAGTGAAAAATAGATGCTCCTTGTCCCAGGAATCCTGCTGGGACTATCAGCAGTGGTGCTGCAGCTGCCAAGGAGCCTCGGAAGAAATTCTCAGGAGAAAGTGATGACAATGCTCCTGCAAGAATGTGCATTAGCCCATGAAATTTACTAGGGAAATACAACAGATGTCATGGGACTGATAATTAACAAAAAAAATCAGTTACATCAGTGAGTAAAAGTGGTAAATGCACAGGGCTGCAAAGTAATTGATTGAGATTCCTACAAGTTTCAGCCCTAAACAAATTTACAAACCAGTGTGTCTACAGGAGAGTGGAAATGATGGGCCTCAGGATGGCTTGGAAAGTCCATCTACAGCAACCCCTCCCCGCAAAAGTAGTGTGGCTCTCCTTTTGCTCTTCTGGACACATCTCTATTTAACCAAAAGTGAATTTTGCACTTTGGATTTCTGCCAGAGTCAAGCTGAGATCACCTTTCTGTTTCACATGAAACAGGGTCAGTACTACACAGGCCAGGTCTGATGTGGTTAAGCAAAGAATGGCTTTTGGGGTGAATTCAGCAGCGGATGTAGCCATTATGTGCATCTGCAGAGAGCTGTGCTGAGACACAGCCTCATCCCCTGTGCATGTCAAACGAACCACCCATGGGGGAAGCAGCAGAAAGATCACAGTTAAGCAAGTGTGCTTTCCACTTAAATCCACTGCTGAAGAATTCCCAGCCCTTTGGCTCTCAGCCTTAACTCCTCTTTTACACAAGATCAAAACACTGGCACCCAGAATGGGATTGTAATTTGCCTCGGTCAATAAGTCAATAGAACTAATGTCATACATCAAACATTAATAAATTTTCAGAATGGCCTGGTACTGTATTCTGGATGTGCCCAGGTTGGGGGAAGTCAGCAACAGACCCTGAAAAGGTACAGGGAGAAGAGAGGTAGATTTTTCCTGGATATTTTTATCCCTTCAGTTGAATTAAACTTTAGTACATGGACACATAATTCTTATTAAGACATCTTTTAAGCAAGACTTTATATTATGTATTGTCATACATTACTAGATTATTACATAACACCACTTCTTCTATGGAAGTCCAGTGCTTAGATTCTCAAGAACTAGTCAGCACTGCCAAAGTGTGTGTCTACATCTGCTTGCACGAAGTAAACTGTTGCCATTAGTTTAAAAAAAACATACAAAAACATTTCTGTGAATCCAGTCTATTCCACTCCCCCATTGTTTTAACTTTTCTTAGTGTACCTTAATCTGGTGCTGTGTCTTTAAGCTACCAAATCTAATGTCTCTTAGCAGTCAAAGGACAGACTGTATCCACTGCCCTTTAATGGTAAGAAGAAGCTGTCCACACTGCAGCCCTCTCTGCATATCCCACCTTATTCTGGTGATGCTAGATGGAACCTTTACCTGGCCAGTGTCTCATCTTTTCCATCCATAACAGCTACCAGAACTCTTTTTTTTCTCTTTAAGGAAAAAAAAAAAAGTAGCCTCTCTAAAAGGAAAGAGGAAGCCAGAAATTTTGTAGCATCTCAGTCCTACCCCATGACGTTTCTTCCTGTCTGTGAATTTCCACCTACCCCTTCTGCATATATAAGGCAGCACACGTGGGACAGACTGTTTAGTCGCCTGCCTCCGTCAAAGGATTAGTAGCAGTGGGGAGTGATGCTGTTTCTCCTTTCCTCTGCAGCTCACGGGAGGTGAAGGATCTTTGGCTGGACTCACTCCTTGGGTGAGTACTGCCTGGGATAAAATCTGTCACATTGTGGTTGCAGTCCGTGTAGGGCTACAAAGACATAGACAGGGGAGAAGTGCACCCACTGCTAAGTGTAGCTTGTGAGCAGAGCTGACCGAATCGCTTCGCCTCACGTTTGCAGATTAACGACCATAAGTGACTGTCACCACTTGCTCATATTTTTGCACAGATTAAAAATGGAAAGCTGCTTTTATTCTGTTTTAATCAAGAGGTAGATAGGGCAGCAGGGCTGAGTGCCCTTTCAGAGAAGGGCTTTATGGTTTACTTGTGTGGGAGGTCTTGCTGTTTCAGGATCATCCATGCTAGACTGGCTTGCAAGGGAGAAAGGCCAGAAGGGTGCAGTTTTACAAAGCTCTTTCTTTGTCCATTCCATGTTCAATAAACAGGCAAACAAAAGGACTGAAGGAAACTAGAGCATCCAGAGCTCCCCCAATCAAACTCCTAATGAAAGTGTTAAGCAGCTGTAATACTGTGAGTGTCTTAACTGTTTCTGCTCTGTCAACAGAGTGATTTTTTAAAAGCTCTGACTTCTAAACCATAGCATTCAGTTATTCACAGTGTCTTTGTTTCCTTGCCTAGTCGAAGACACTAAATGCTGGGAACATGGAGAGTCTGATTGAGTGCCAGTCAGAGGTAAGCAGTCCCTACATTTTCTCTGATCCTTCTTGGGTACCAGTGTGAGATATTTTAGCAAAGTAGGGGTGGCCCCCCTAAGAGCTGCCAGCTTGCCTACCCTTATACATGAGCGGGTAGAGCTTTTGAAAGGCAACTCTTGTGCTGCACTGAGTAGAAGGAGCTGAGCATTGTCGTGGGCAGTCACTGCACTCCCCTGGCTCCCAAGGAGCTTTACTCTGGAATCTTATAGGCTTCAGAGCCATCAAGGCTCCACGGAGGAGTTTGGGAGGAAATTTCCAGAGCCAGGGGAGGGCACAAAAAAGCAGGCTGTGTCCAGATGTGGCTTCTCTGGATCAAAAGAGCAGCCTGAAAGAGCACAGGGTTGTGACCTGCCGGGCATGACTGGGGTGGCTGTCTGCAGGGTTTACCACAAACCCCTCTATCGGGCAGTGAGGCAGTGTCAATCCTGGACCCAGGCACCTCTTCAGCAGGTGTTGGGCTTGCTTTGGTTGTTCCCCAGTGTCTTCCACAGATTTCTGAGAGGCTGCAGTGACTCACTGGTGGCACTCACTGCTGGTGTCAGCTCTCTAACCCTAATATGCTTTACACAGGCTGATGCCAAAAAGTGTCCCCCGCTGGTCCCAGCTGATACTGAAGACAGACTTTGCCACTCAACTGGTGAGTTTCAAAAACAAACTGCCTTCTTATATAATGCTTTCAAGCTGCCACTTGTGCAAAACCACCTGAAACTGCCCACTTCCCCTTCCTGAGAGCAATCCACAGCCTGCATCCAGCAGAGGGCTTAAGCCCTGAAGTGCCACTCACTTGCAAATTACTTCTTTCCCTTATGCTCAGTGGCAAAGATGACAGTGCTGAGTGCCAGAGGTCTTGTATTGCTGTTCCCTGGTCCTCAGAGTCATGTTTCCTTCTGTTCCCTGGCAGTGAGGGGAAGTAAATGTGTTTCTTTTTCACTCAAGCATCCCCACTGAGGTGTGGCACTGCAAGCGAGTACAGCTACCGGCTGTTGCATGCCAGAGCAAATAAACCCTCTTGACAGCAGCAACAGCACTTGTTTTTTTCTCACCGTGCAAAACCTCAGCACATGTAAATAACCCAGGGGAAACCATTTAGCAGGGCAGGGTCAGATTTGGAGCAGATCATCATATCAGATCAGTTTTGAGGAGTATCAGGAAGCAAACATTTTATATGACGCTATAACGTTAGGTGCCTTTCACATAGCTTATAACCTCTCCCTACCAAGGGCTTGTTCTAAGCCACAAAGACATGTCCTGAGAACTTCTCATCTGTGTAAGATAACTTCATTTTGGAGTAGAAGGCGTGTCATTTACTGGAAATTTGCAGAAGGCAAATCCTTTAGAAAGCTTTCTAGCAAAATATCCTTCTCTCACTGCTTCTGAAAGAGAAACTAGCATTATCCTTAGAGGTGGCTCCAAGTCTGGAAGTGCTGGAGCCGTGTGTTTTCATTTCAGACTGTGAAAGAGGCTGAAAAGCAGGAACCCCTAGTTCCACTCTTGCCTGAAGACTGGGGCACAGTCAGACCATGTAGCAAAAACTGTTGTCATTGTCAGCTGCTGAAGTAGCATATCTGCCAGAGTTATCACAGAAACCACTGCAATATCAAAAATCTCTATAAACATTGTTACTTCTGTGCCTTGTATGTTCCCACTCTCTAAGAAGAAACAGTGACTAGAATGTAAAGAACACCCAACCCAAAACAGGAAAGGTGGTGTCCTTAGAGGGATGATCGCAGTTATACAGTTTAGGCGATTGTTTCCCTGGTAACAACTTAGTTGTCTTTCAGTTTCTCCCCATTTAGTTTGAGTTGTTTCAACATACATCTCTGCACTGCATGCAGATGAAAGACCACATATCGGTCTGTTTCCTTTTTTTAAATTGTTTTTTTCTTTCCATTTGCTTGCAGCCAATGGAATAAAGAAAAGAAAGAAGGTGATATCACAGTCATTTACTCTGAGACGAAGCTCTACCAATGGAAATTCCCCAGGGCAGCTAGACTTGAATGCCAAAATCACTCTGTTTGGCCAACCTCTGGAAATTATCTGTGGGGAAGATGACACGCTGCCCCAGCCAGTCCAGGTAAGAAAGCCCGGGGATACTGTTATCATACCTCTGACTCCAGTATGAGGCAGGACCCCCAGTACTTGTGCTGCAGTATCCAGGAGATGAGTGAGTTTGGTGTTTCCCCTTCACACACACACTCCTCCATGGCCCATCCCAGATGTAGAAAAAGTCAGTTCTGTGGATTTTGTCCAGCCCACTCACCTTTCACTGGAAGTAATTTGTAGTGGAGACAACCCAGGACCAGGAATGGGAGATGAAGATTTGCTGCTTAATATAGACATATGTGATTCTACAGAAGCAAATTAAATAAATCTTTCAGCAGCATAAACTTCCAAAGATTTCTGTATTTCCCTGAAAAAAAGTGTTCAGCTATGCACTGCCACCAACAAATACCTAAACACTGTCTTCTGTATAAAAACAGCCTTGTAACAGTTCTCCCACTGAACTGGTTTTCCCAATAGACAGGCATTTGTTCCCTCTAAGCAATATATGCTTGGATTGTGAAAGAAGGGATTTGAACTAAGACTTAAGCCATCCCTTGTTTCCTTCTGGAAGGAAGCAAGGATGACTCCACTGAAGTTAGTAGAATTCACCAGTTCAAACAGAGGGTGGTTTGGGGAAAAATCAGGCTGCTGACCATGCAATCTACTTGGAGTAAGAACAGGATACTGAACTAATCAGAGCACAGCACAGTGTACCTCCAGAAATTGTTTTTTCTGTTTCTAAAGGAATGTTCACCTGCTGTTCACTTTTCTTCACCCAAGTAACTGTTTTCCCATCCCTGTTTGATTTCTTCCCTGCAGGATCTCATAGCTATATTGTATATGAAAGGACCTTCCACTGAAGGGATATTCAGAAAAGCGGCCAACGAGAAAGCACGAAAGGAGTTGAAGGAGGACCTAAACAAAGGCGGAAATGTTGATTTGAAAAGCAAATCTGTGCACCTGCTTGCAGTGGTTTTAAAGGTGAGCAACCCTGAGCTACACCGCTGGGAGGACATTGTTAATCTTCACAGGCCCACTCCAGTGCCCAGAGCTGACCTAGGTGGGACTCTAAGCTAAAGACAGATTAAATGTTTCATGCTTAGGAAAGTCTGGAATTTTCTTTTTCCACCTTACTTTCAGACCTACATGATTTCCTGCATGCCTAGAGGAAACTTCTCCTTAGAATCCTCAGGGAGGAATAGTGAGATTTATGGGTGAACAAAGAGCAGTTGAAAGCTGGGTCCTGTTACTACAAAAGTGCAAATGCACTTGTGCATTACACTGCTCTCTCAGTGCTGATGGTCAGGTAGCTCAAGTCAACCTGTCTTCTAGAGAGCCCATGTGACACTAATGCTCCCTTAGTGCTCAGGGGTAGTGTCAAAGTCTCATCTAAATCTCTTGGCCTTGCAGGACTTTCTCCGAAATATTCCCTCCAAACTCCTGTCGGCTGACCTCTATGAGAAGTGGATGCAAGCTCTGGAGAAACCAAGCAAGCAGGAACAAATCGAGGAACTGAAAGAGTACGTTTTTCAACCAGGAAGTTTTGCAACCAGCCCAATGTGATGGAGTGTCTGGTAGAGGCCAGTGATGTCTTTCAAAATTTAGAGTCTCACTTAAAAGCCTGTCATTTATATTAGCTTGTTATTGCTCCATGGGGTTTGGTTTTGAGGGCTTCAGCAGCAGCACTTCCTGAAGTTATTTGAGACAACCAGTGTAGAAAGAGGGCAGAGGCTGCAGTGTCTCAGCTAATGTAGTCACGATGCTGTGGGACAGGCAATGACAGGGAGCCTTCACATCTGCCAGCAATGAAGTTGAAGACCACCACCATGTATTGCTATTTAGAAAGGGCAGGTGTGGAGGCTGACTGGGAGTGCTTTGAAAGCTGCACAGCACAACCACAGGCTTTCCCTTGCCTTTGGGAAGTCTCCAGTGACATCTCCTGATGTCATCCCACCTAGTCCAGGACATGGGCTGCTGCAATGCTACCTTTCAGTCAAAACCTTGTAATTCAAGATCTTATAATTAACCACACACTCAGCTGTGGTTGGAGATTTCTGAATAATATTTCTAATCAGTGAAAAAGCATACACATGCCTCTTTCTGGAGGAAGCACTGTCTGTCTGAGTTTAATTGAGAATTTCTCAAAGAAAGAAGCAGAGGCCACTGCACCATCAATAACATCACATTTTGTTTGTGTTCATGCAGGGTGGCTGACAAACTGCCTAGACCAAACCTCGTCTTGCTCAAACACTTGCTCTCTCTGCTCCACCATATCAGCCAAAATGCTGAGACCAACAGGATGGACTCCAGCAACCTGGCCATCTGCATCGGCCCAAATATGCTGAGCCCAGAGATGGACAGCCTGGTCCCACTGGAAGTGCAGAAGGAAATGAATGAAAAGGTGTGTTGAACTCACCAAGCACCACCTGCTTTGGGGCATCTCAGAGCTGTCCATAGGGATCCCAGTGCCATTGCAAAAGCCGAACAGAACAGCACCCCTGCAATGCTGAGAGGGGTGCCTCTCAGCTCAGGGGCCTGCAATGTGATGGGCCAGGCTGCCCCTTGTCTCACCTCCTCTGAGCAAAAGCAGCAGCTGCTCTGCAGCTCCCTAGGTCATAGCACAGCTCCTGGATGCTTTGCATGCAGAGGGGAAGAGACACCCAGTGGGCATTGCCACCTGTGGGCCCTACTGGACAGCAAGGCCGAAGCTGTGGCTGATGGCATTTTGTCTGTATCAGGGCAGATCCATTAGTCTACAGAACCAGCCCTTATCCCCCGTGGTGGACTCGCCCTTGGACTTTAAGCCAGGATTTTGGCAGAAGTTACCCTGCTCTGTGCTGTCCTTCATACAAAGACAGCAGGCAGGGGTAGGAAAGACTCTTCAATATGTTATTCCCTTTTGACTGAAACGAACTGTTTTCTGTGTGCAGGTGACAGTGTTGGTGGAGTTCCTCATAAACAACTGCTCAGAAATATTTGGGGAGGACATTGCCTTCCCTGTCTGTGTTTTGGCTGAGGAGTCACCAGAGCACACAGACAGCTCCACAGGTATGAATGAGAACAGACTTGGGGGTGTCACAGGCTGGGGCTGCCATGCTAAGTTCTTTAATTTGATATCAGAATGTATCTGTGGAAACACAGGGACTTGTAGAGGGTTCAAGACTCTGTTGCAGTGTTCTTCTTCAGGAATTCTTTCCATATAATTCTCTTTCATCCTTAGCTGCTCAGTGAAAACTAACATCTGCTTTCTCCCCACAGAATACCTATGTGCTGCTCATCAGAATGACTCTGCCTATGACAGCCCAGATCCCGAAGCTGAAGGCAGCCCCTGTACCTCTGAGATGAAGCAGTCCAAAGGCATGAGTGCTACAGTGAGCAGAAGATACCCAACACACATCTCTGCCACTTCACTGGCTGATTTCAGAAATGACATCAGCAAGATGGACAGGAGGTACTCAGAATCAGACCTGTCCTTCCAGAACCGCCTTGATGGCAGGATAAGAAAACAGAAGCTAAACAAAAGTGAGGACAATTTTCCAGTTCAGGAGAAACAGCTAGGGTTGGAGGCACTGGAGAAACGGCTTGCAGTCTTACCTTCACAATTATCAAATGACTCTTTACCCAAAACTTCCTCCAGTTGCTCCCTGGAGAGCTCTGATGGCTCGGTCTTCACCAGCTCTCCAGTAGTTTCGCCCTCTAGTCCCAAAAGAACCTTTTTAAATAGGCCTCAGTCCTTTTCTACCAAGGCCACTGAAGACTACAGTACACTTAGCAGAGAGATCAAAAAACATTCCATGTCATTCTCTTTTGCAAACCGCAGGAAAACACTAATAAAAACCCAGAGTTGGGGGCCTGGAAAAAACATGTTTTTTCAGAGGGACAGTTTCACAAAGAGAGAAGATCAGTTCTCCTGCAGAACTGTCCAGGAGAACTATCTTGATGATGACAAAGCATTGCCTGTGGAGTACCAGCAAAGGCCCCGTTTCAGGTCAGCTGATGAAGTGTTCAGAGAGGTAGACCAGAGGAATGCTGGAAGACCACCTTCTTATGAAGAGGCTATTAAAAACTGCCTGGCCACTAAAGTTTCCTCCCACAATCTCACAGTTCAAACTATGAGATTAGCAGTGTCAAACCAGGATGCTTTGCTGCCTCATCCATGCAGCAGCAGTGCACAGGACACAGCATGTACGGCTCTAAGGGATCTACCCAGTGCCAGGGTTTCTGCAACGAAGGATTCTGGTGGGGAAACTGAAACCTTCAGTGTCACTGTGGAAGTAAACTCCCGTGTGAGTTTACCCATGACCCCAGGAGTATACCGAATGAGAGCCATGTCTGAATCCTACCAAAAGAACAAACTTGAGTATGTGGCTCGGAGGTGCAGCCAGCCAGTTTTTGAGGTAGACCAGATCCAGTATGCTAAGGAATCCTATGTTTAGAAAGCTTATCCTTCCTCTTCATACTGTACAAAGTAAATATTGTAAAAATAGATATCTTGCTCATCCTTTGTAAGATTTTACTTTCGAGACACCAAGAATAAGCTAGCTCTGTGTGAAGTTTTTCCCTCAAGTGTCTGTCACGTTCTTTCACCACAAGAGGTGGTGGTGGTGGTGAAGACCTGTGTATCATGTAAAAATGTAACTGAGTATGATGTACATAACCTGTTGTGTGGGAAGACTAGTTAGCAGATGATAAACAATGTTGTATTTGTATCCCTGATAGGACAATTAGAAGGTTGTCCAAAACCTCCAGAAGGCAGGTCCAAAACCTGCCCCACTTTCTTTTTGTTTTCTGTGTGGTCACAGACTCTGTACCATTTGTCATGTGTGTGCACCAGGCTGAAGCAATGCTTGGATGAGTTTTTGCATTAAGAAGTGGGCTGGCAGTTACCCTAAAGCAAGAAGAGCTGTTGTCATCAAGTCACTGCAGTACTCTGCCATAAACCCTCTCTACTTGCTGCCATTCCATCTTCCTGCTTGCTGGTGATGAGAATGATCTGATCACCAACCAGCATTAGTGTTGTATACCGAGCCTGGGGCAGGAAACATTCTGGATTCCAGACGCAATAATTAAAGCTCATTTAAAAAAAAAAAAGAAAAAAAAAAGAAAAAAGAAAAGGAAATACTAGGTGGTGTCCTTATAACCTTGTAAAAATGACTGGAAGTGCAATGTGTTTTTATGGCCTATGGTTTATAGCCTTGAACCAGGAGCAGGGAGACTTTTTCTCCTGTGTAACTTCACTACAATAAAACATTTTTCTGCATGAATGCTAAACTGTCCATTGTCTGTTTTTAAAGCACCCAGGCTCTGCACATACTGTACCTACTTTTATGCTATTCTACAGGTACTGCAGGTCTGCTTGAATGGCACGGCATAGCTGAGTAGCAGGAAGCAATGTAAATGTCTCCAGTTACAACAGGAAGAAGTATCACAGCAGAAAAAAATCCTGTGTTATTATTAGTCTGGGGATAGGAGTTCTTATTTCTCTACTGCCTGTTCTGGTTTTGGTGCTGATACATCACAGGAGACCAGGTGATTTGCTGCAGTCCCACACCAGCACTGCTTATTCCCAGCTTGACTCATTCCTCGTTCGTAAACTGCTAGTGGTAATTTCAGCTTCCCATTGCACCCCGGCAGGTCTCTTAACCCAGTGAACAACATTTTTTGACATAGCGAGGCCAAGAGATTACAGCCCTCAGTTATGACAGGGGTGAGCTCTTAACAAATGAGAACATGACTCAACTCTGCTAGCATTAGTCGGACTGCAGCAAGTGTGGCTATTGTGTGTCTCCATGAGGACCATTTCTGACTACAGGAAAAGGAAACCCACCTTGGTTAGGTGCTCTGGTTACATTTTTCTCTGAATTTTCTTAGCAGTCAGTCCTTATCACACGTGTCATCAGAACATAGTGAAAACTTCAGAGGAACTTCTGAAGGCTAAAAATTCAGAAGAGGGAGCAACTTCTTACATAAATGAAAATAAATGAAAAGTCTGACAAAGACAGAGAAAAAGATCCATGAGAAAAGAGCAACCACTATTGGAGAAGTGATATAATCCTCGTATGGACAGATGACTATCATGTACAGAGCTGTCTGCAAGTCTCTGTGGAGGCTAGATGAACAATTGCTTTTTCTGCCTCTCTCTTACTCAGAAATGCTAATTACATATGCTATTAGATAATAACACTTTTTTTCCTATAAATACATTGCTTTCATTGTTTTTAATCAGTCTTTGTCATTCACTGTGATAAATACATCAATTAAATCTCACTTCTGAGCAAATCCCATTCCAAATTCTACATGTTCTTCTACAAGCAAAGAGGAAACCACAGATTATTCTCTGTTTCTAACCTGAGGTGTCAGCACATAAGACTGAACAAATGGTTCACGAGTTCCAAACAGGATTGACTCCACTGGTCTCTGCTTCCTCTACAGGAGAATAATATGAAAAGGTTTCTATGAAGGGTTTCACACTTTCTAAACAGCCAACAAGCTATTTACAGAACTGATCCAACGGCTGCCTGAAACCCTTCCTTCCTACAACCCACAAACCTCCTACCAACTTCCTTGACAGATGCTACAGTCCAAATTCAAACCCTGCACCTTCAGTATCCCACAGGTCGTGCTGAAAATTATAAAACTGTATTTTCAAAAAGTTTTAAGGCCAAATCCAAGCAGATTCCAAGACAGATGATCAGAGATTCTCTTATGATAAAGATTAGAGATTTGTCTGGTTTTCCACATGCTTGCTGCACAGTCTTGGGCCATGCAATTCTCTCTCCATCATAAAGCTGTGACTTCACACATCAAGTGCACCTGTGCAGCTTTGCCTGTGATTCACCAACTAGTTTTCTTCAGCACAGCTGGTCACAAGGTGAGAAAGTAACTACAGTATCATTCAAGAACTTTGCTGAGCTCTGTACACTGAGAAGTACACAATGTTACATGATATAATACAGAGATGCACACCCATCTTATGAGCTACACACACCAGAAGACAGTGCATTTGAGAAGACTTTGGATGTGTGAAAGAGCAGAGCAGCCACTAGTTCTCCATAGGTGATCAGGGAGGATGGTCTTGAGATAGAGACTGGAGACTTGTAGTTAGGTTGTTCAATATCAGAGTCTGCTTTCCCCACAGGCCTCCTGCCCAATGCAGGGTTTGGACTGTGCAGTTTAACTTCAATACTGCACAGACTATACTGCTCTGCCTTCCAGAGATGTAATAAAGGGCAATTTATTTCAAGATGCACAAACACAAAGACTACAGTGAAGAGGCAACAGGAGCAGATCAGTCTTGTTTCTTACTCTGCAAGTTCAGTGCAGTTGAACAACTGCCCTTAATGCAGGGAAATGAAAAATACAGCAGAGCTTCCTGGACCCAAAAAAAAGACAGTGGGAGAGCCCTGTTCAGGGCAGGGAGAGGTAAGAAGGGGCTGGAGAGGGATTAGGAGCACACAGTCTATTTGAGCTTAAACAGAAAGGTCACCAACAATTGATTTTCCATTTGACAGTGTGATGAATGACAGTTTAAAATCAAGTCTGCACTGCTCCACCCTCAAAGGTGCTTTCTCACCCCTCCATAATTCTTTCTAGTCACTGTCTCTGAAGTCCCATAGTGGCATAGGGTAAGAATGCAAGCCCCAAGAGCAGGTTTGCCACACTGAAAAACAAAACTTGTTGAGAACATGAAGGGAAGGTAACGGAGGGAAAATGGTGCTGAGACTCAGAAGTGAAGTGGTAGGGGGAAGCAGGATTGTAAATTTGGGCTGGAAACCATGAATAATAAAATCTTAATTTTGATTACTGTTGGAGAAATCAAGGTCTTCAGAATTGAAACTTCACAGTCTTGCCCAACACCACAAACTCAGAACTGGGGTCAAGAGGAAGCTGTGCTGCTACAGAGAAAAGGAAGTTTAATAATTTTGGGTTGAAGATATGAGTGATAGGATCTGCATTTTTTTCTGTTCACAGTTATCAAGATTAACAGCCCTACTTAAAAAAATCTTGATGTCAACATCACAACTCAAGTTTAGCTCTGGCATTTATTTTTCCTTGTATGTCTCTCATCTGCCAAAACTCTTAGGCTGGCACATTATATTTTTTAAAGCTAAGTATCTCACTATTAGGACCAGGCCTATATGTAAGCAATGTTTGTATACCTCAGATGAACTAAACCTAGTGCCTACAAACCCCAACAAAGACACCATCCACCATCTGCGGGCTGGCAGACACCAGTGATACAATACTGGCACAGTATTTCTGATTCTTTTCGATCACATCACAGCAACAAGTCAAAAGCAGGTTTCAGGGCACTTCTAGTAATTGTTTTCCAACAGCATTGAGGCAAATAGTACATATGCACCTCATTTGGGCTCTGTGATTCTTTCATCTTTGCAGTCACACTGTTGGATTTCCATGTTTGTACTCTATTTTTTGTATTTCCTTCACTTGTCTCAGGGCATTGATTAGCAGCAGCATGATGCTTTCTGGGATTTTAAAGGCAGCTCCAAGCATGTCCCTGGAGATTTTCAGAACCTGGGAGGAGAAAGCCCTGATCAATCAGATCTGCCTTTGAGTTTGTACTGGCTTAGGCAAGGGGTTTACGCTAGAGACCTCCAGAGTCCCTTTCAGTCTAGATTACCCTGTGATTCTTTGATGTCTAATTGAAAGTGATGGTATTTTGGCCTCAAGTAGAGTTACTTCCAAGACTGGGAGATCCATGCCTTTACCTGCAGGCCCAAAGGGGTAAGAATTGCAGTTTAAAATTCCATGTCAGGACCATGGAAAACCAAATCTAACTCAAATTTCTTGTAATTTCACAGTGTTATATCAGGAAAGCATTCCTGTAGTTTTAAAAGCAGCCATGACCCTACTCCAGATGGAAGAAAATGCTCTGGGAAGGAATTATGCCCCTCTATGTCCTTCCTTGACAATTAAGCATTTTCTATCTCCATAAACCTCCTTCCTTTCTTAATTATGCAATGCTGCAGAAAGTTAAGATAGTGGAAACTGGACACAGCTAGTCTGGTCAGCATTATATTATGCAACGCCCTGTGGTACAAGGTCTCACAAGCAAGCAACATCCAAGCTGGGGCCCCAGGAAGACTCAGGCTCAGCACTATAGGCCTCTTATATTATATTTCAAGGTGTAGTTACAAAATGCATCCAAGTGCTGGAGAAAATAGTGGATACACATCCACTGTTACTAGATGCTGACACCTTCACATTTGCTTTGCTATGAATAAACTCATTTCATGTCCAAACAAAGAAAGCCAAGGGCATGCCATAAGGCATGGTACAATGCCAGGAAATTATCATGAAAACAAACAAACAAGTCTCTTTTGGCTCCGAGGCATTGCCACAAACCCACAGCAAACCTGGAAGGAGATAAAGCCCTTGTTCTGCAGCTTTCAAGTCAGATGAAAGCACCTCAAAA